GAGCGACGCGTACCCGCCGCGACCTCCGCCTACCTCACACCACGTCGCGACGCTGCCGACAGAGGAAATAGAATAACTCAAAATAGAAATTAGATATTACTTATTTGCGCGGCGTACCTGCGAGAGAGAATCGAAAGCACAATTGACAAAAGAGCGAAACGATATTATTAGATAACATCATTGGCTGACAATGATGGTTGGGAGGTGGGGAACAAACACGCACATTCCATCCCGATGAAACTATCGCGCGGAATATTCCCATCCGGAGTTAATATCGCGCAGGATGGGCTCTTGAAGGACGCGGAGAGAGATTTCGAATTCTCGTTCTCCGTATGTTTAAATACACATTTGACGCCGGTAAGTACGCGTTTGAGCCCGCTTCGTTGCGCCCGCGTTTGAGCGTGGTTTCACAGCGATTTTGAGGCGACCCCCGTCGTTCGCGATGGCCCGCGAAAAAGTACGATCACGCGGCGGGGATCAGCAGACCTGTGGGTGTCATCCACCGTGTGCCACGTGCACGCCACGTTGGTTTAATCACGTGAATTATTGATAATCAGGATCACGTGAACCGTCTCTCTCTCTTTCTCTCTCTCTCTCTCCGGCGCATAATTTAGGTCTCATCATGGCGGATACGGTAGTTCCTACCTGCCGAGGTAGAAAGGCTCTATTCGGAGAAGGTGAACCGAATTTCGAATTATTGTTTATAAGCCTCGTGTTCGTTTAAAATTCTATATAAAATTCCAACGTTTTCTTCCGCGTGCAGTAAATTCGCCGAAATTCCTTCATAATTCCGGGCAAGAAACGGCTTGTTTGCTTCTGCATGGTTCATAGTCAACGCGAAAAAAAAGGTAAACATCACGTAGGCAATACCAGTCACGTAGACGTAATTTTATACTCTACGGAGAGTCCAGGCCGGCGAGTTCGAGGACCATTAGACGAACTATTGTGTCCAATTAAACTATTAATTGTATGCGCAAACATAATAATAATAATTTAATATTTAAATAGTAATTTATTGTCACGAGAGAAGTTACGCACTATTTTTCTCGAATTTCAAAATTCGAGAAAGCGAGAAGTAATCGAGAATAGAATCTTCGAGTTTGAAAAATCGGCAAGTTATTAAACGGACGTCGTTTGATTGCTGTCGACTTTTGGAGTCTTCCCGGAGTCTCGAGGAGAATAATTCCAGGAAATCGAGAAAGAATTATTCTTTAAGGGGGCATTCTCCGTCGAGGGTAATGTCCCCCTCGATTAAATGTGCATCCGGGATGCATTGAACACGTAGAAGACATTTCATTTTCGAACCAGACGCTTTATTCCCGTGTTAATTTTGCGGACATGTATCTCGGCGAGTCACGCCGTATCGTCAAATACAAACTATCCCGGTATCGGGTCGAACCGTGCAAACTGTGTGGGGAGTGTTGGCGGCTCTTCGGAATAACATCACCTCTCGTCGCGCGGAACTGCCGGATTTTGAAATAACCGGAGGAGTATCTTCGGAAAACGAGCATTTAAAAATCTAAAGGTAGGATTACAGGTAGGACAAATTACTCCGAAAAGAAAAACAGACAGCGGTGCTCGTTGCTGAAGACAGAGGCTGGAGGCAGCGGGTGGTATCCGGGGGTTACATCCTCCGGAGGATGCGGAACCTAGATACGGGGGGGATATCCGGGGGGGGGGCGGGGATGAAGGATATGTGTGTCCGATTACACTTCACATCACTGTCGGCGATCGAGGAGACGCGAACTGACCTGGGCACGACGACGATGGCACTGCGTGTCGATCTTATCGAGTTATTCGAGGTGATGGCGGTGTGGTGCCCCGGGGTCCTGGGTCCCGCCGCCGCTGAATCTCTGTCTCCTTCGTCCCGGGTCTTGGTCCTCGTCCTCGCCGCTGCTGCCGTCCAACTCGATCGGCGGCAGCGCTGTAACCTGTCGTTGTAATCGGCGCGACCGGGCGAGCGAGCGAGCGAGCGAGCGGAGCGGATCGGGCGATCGAGCGACGCGGTGTGTGCGGCGCGGTGTAAACAAAATATGGCGGTGGTAACAAGTAAAAGGGGAGTTACCCCGGCGAGAGGGGGGGTCGCGGGGCACGCGAAGGGCCCCGGCACCGCGTTTCCCGGAATTCGGCCCGGTTTTCGGGGTAAACGCCGGGCCAACGGGGCGGGCGCGGGCGACCAATCGCGGCGCGCGTGCCACCGGCACCGATTCACCCGGTTTTTGCGCCGTCGTGCTATCCTCGGCTCCCCGACGAACGTTTCCTCACCCGCCCCGACACCGCCGACGCGCGTCGGTGTACACGATACATTACATATGTATGCGTGGTACATATATACGTGTATATACATGTGCGCGCGTAACAGAGACCTTCGCCGGCGGGAGAACGCCGGCAAAAAATTGTTTTCCTGGACACATGTCGAAGAGCGGCGTGTATTACACGTCCGACACATCAAATTCATTTTCGAAACGATCTCGTGCTTACGACGATTGGAGAACCAGGAGCGGAATCGCGGGGCGAGTAGAAGGGGACTTAGGGGAGTACGTGACGCGTGCAGGTGGAATTTTCATGGGGCACGTCGAAGGGGCACCGTTCAAGGGCGGAGAACAAATGCGAGAAAAGATTCCTCATCGATATATCGAATGATTATTATGTATATATTGTATATAGTTGAATTTTTTGACCAAAGAAAGAATAACAATTTTTCATTCTTCTTTGACGGAAATATTGGATATACGAGATACATCTTCCTTTTCCATTCGTAATCCTGAAATTCGGGATGGAATTTTATTCGTGACAAATTTACAATCGTATGCACGGCGTATAAGTTCAGGGTTTAAAATTCTTCGGCGTCCACAATATAAGATACGCGTTTATAATTTCTTCGCGGTACCTACACTGTTGAATTCCTAGTGTTAAATTATACTCAATTTGAGTCATTTTTAATAACCTTTCCTGTAAGGTCGCCACTGCTTCTGCTCAATTCGTTCATTTAACTAATTGTGAAACAATGTTAATTAAACTAATAAAGTTAAAATAACACTTCTTAACTAAAAAGATTTTTTTAAAATACTAACTTAACTAAAACAATATTAATTAAACTAATAAATTTAAAATAATAAATCGGCACACATGGTAATTAAAAATAACAAAATATTATGCAAGGTATCGATTTAAATTCCATCCTTTAGTATTTAATAGTGTAATAACGGAGAAATAAAATTAAATTTCCTCAACGGAATTTTACTTAACGTCGTCGATGCCGCCGTGTCATCAGTTCCTTCGTCCGGCCAATGCGATTCCTTCTCCACTGCGCGCCTCCGATTCCTTCGGTTGACCGCAGCCCTCCTTTTCACTGGGCCGCCCGGCGAGGCCCTCGCCGGAACATGTGCTCCCTTTTCTACTGCATGTCGCTGATTTCTTGACATTTCTCCCCTTCTCTTTTTTTTCTTTTTTTTCCTCTCTGAGTATACGTATTAGAATCATCTCTTTATCTCCCTATATACACTGAGAAAAAAATTTTCTGTATTTTAGTAAATAATTAATTTGCATGCAACTGTAACTCCATTTACTAAAATGAAGGAAATTTTCCTTTTTATTCGTATATTTTTTTTCAGTGAATACACATACTAATAAAAAGGAAATTTTTCTTCATTTCAGTAAATGGAGTCACAGTTGTATCCAAACTAATATTTCCTAAAATGTGGACAATTTTTTTTAGTGTACATATATGTATGTACAGATGTATAGATACGAAAAATAAACTTCTCCCATTTCTCGTATTTTTCCACGTCAGCTTTCCTTTCATTATATACGCGTCGTGAATTTTTTCACTTGGGGATGCATCTTTCTTCTCTTCCACTGCGCATCGCACTGGTTTCTTCGTCTGATTTTCTGCGCTTTTTTTTCCAACTAACAAGTGCTGGCCGTTTCTTATTCACCACGCTCGCATTTCTTCTGTTTGATCTCCCTCGCACACTTTCTCTCCATTTCTCTCTTTCTGTCAGACTATACGCGATGCATTTTTCCAGCAGAGAATCAAGCTAGGGCCGCGTTCATTGCTCAAATATTTGCTAGGCCACGTGGCACGGCATACGATGCGGTATATTAAATTCTACACGATCTAATTTTACAACGTAATAAATACTGTTTATGTGCAAGAAAACGGTAACACGTCTCGTAAAAATATAAATGGTGATAACGAGCAGAATAATAACAAATAATAAGTTTTTTGCCTCAATAAAACTCGCAGCACTTAACATAATAATAATGATAAGCATAATGATCGGGGAATGACTAGTGAAGTTATTTAACGATGTTCTTTGTTTTTCGCTATTTTTAATACATACGGTCTGGCTGCGGTCCACTTGACGCTACAAAATGCTTCGAAGCATTCCTCTTCTCTTTTTTTTTCAGTGAAGAAAGAAGGAGAAGAAGAACGCTCCAAAGCATTTTTGTAGTGCGTCAAGTAGACCGCAGCCTCTGAAGCTCCTACGGTAGTTTATAAATTCTGTGTAAAATATAATAAATAGTATCCGCTACTTGTCCCTTACGTCAACATGTATAATATATAATAATATATAAAAAATAAAAGAAATACAAACGAGTGGAATAAAATGGAGGCCATTATTGTTTTGGCTTCCGCATTTTTCGCATTTACATATCTATCTATGTAAATCTACTAATCTTTCACGCACAAACATCTTTTTGATTAATTTGAAATAAGTTTTGTAACAAAAATTAATATGTCGCAAATGTTAATTTTGATTTTGCAATCAAAATTAACAGAACGGTATTTTTTTAAATGCATTACTCTACATTTTGTACGGTAATCCATGAAGATAATTTTATTCGCAATTTTCAGCTTCGTGACACCGCTAACAATAAGAACGACGTGGTAAATGCAGCGAGCGTCATTACCGACCCGACCAGAAATGGCTAGAAATGATGACGTAAATCCGATCGCCTCGCCTGGCGTCGGGCGAGTCGCGAGTCTTGGCTGTCATACGAGGTTAGGTTAGACACGTTCATGTTATCGGCGATTTTTCAAAGTTTCTGCAATCGAACAAAGTATCGGAGGAAGACGCGGGGTAAGAAGAAAAAGCGGACGCCCTGCCGTGTTCTGAAGAGAACGGCTAAAAGAAGAAAAAGGATAAATTGAGAATGAGATCTCTCTCTCTCGTTGATCTCAGACGAGACGGCGCCGTGTAAATAACAACCGAGTTCGCATCAAGGTAAATTCTTCTTCGCGAGTAACGCGAATCACGTTTTGCCGGTTCGTCGCTCTTCAGCTTCGCTTCCTGGTGCCGGTGATGGTGATTCCGCGAGGCGAGACGAGACGCGAGAACTCCCCGGACATGGTCTCACTCACGACGACGTGAACGAGGATGCAAACGATGCTGCAGGCTCGTTGGGAACGCTCTCAGAAACGCAAGAAGCTCCTGGCTCAGACGGTGAGTATCGAAATCTTCGATCTATCTCGGAAAAGAAACGGTGACTGCCATGGTTTGTAAATAGTTCGTCTACAATAGCCGCAAGAGTATGCGGTAAGCTATTGACCAACCGCTGTCGATTATTCTTGAACTGTAAAAATCCCATTAGTCAATAACTTACTGCTTACGTCTTACTGTATACTCCTGCTGCCATTGTAGACGACGAGGTTGAGATAAACCAGGGGAGGCACACTGGAAGTAATGCAAACGCCAGTTCCCGGTGTGTCCCCCAAACGCTTGAGATAGGCCATCCAAGGGAGTTTTAGCCGGTAAGGGTCTATCCAGACAAACTTGCATAGATGTATAAGGAAATGGATTAATCTATTTCCCTATGCACATGTATATGGACCAATCAATTTTCTTATGTTTATGCGCTAAGCAAGTTTGTCTGGATAGACCTGGATACCCTAAGAATCCAGCATACCCCCTGGTCTCTCCCCAGGGACTAGGGGAACCTACGAAAGTTTTCCCCTCGTTGAAAAAAAGGTTGAGATTAATGCCAGTATTTATTCATGTGTTTGTCCTTTTATTTGCAGCTGGGAGTCTCGAGCGTGGATGAACTGCGACAGATTCTGGGAACGGACGTGGAGGATACGCAGAAGAAGAGAGGCAGACTGTCCAATGACAAGTCTGACGGCGCAGTCAAGGATTTGAAGGACGACGTTGCTCCAACGGACGAGATTGTATATAAGGATTCCTCGACGTTCCTGAAGGTACTTACTGTTCATTTTATACGTAGATCACAGGCATCTTATACAGTTCCATGTTGAGATACTGTATGTCTAAAATAATTTGTGTGTGTAAAGGGAACGCAATCGTCGAATCCGCACAATGACTACTGTCAACATTTTATCGACACTGGCCAACGGCCACAGAATTTTATCAGAGACGTGGGTCTAGCGGATAGATTCGAAGAGTACCCGAAACTACGCGAGCTGATCAAGCTGAAGGACGATTTAATCGCGGAGACCGCGACCCCACCAATGTATCTAAAAACAGACCTGCTGTCGTATAACCTGAAAGAGCTCAATTGTAAATTTGATGTCATTCTTATAGAGCCACCTCTGGAAGAATATCAGAGAACGTGCGGCGCAACCAATGTGCAACTTTGGAACTGGGATCAAGTTAGTTGCATCATGTTTAAATTACTTCAAATTTTTATTTTAACGATATTTCCTTAAAGAAAAAATTGAAATGCATTCTTGGAAAATTTATTATTAAATATTCCTTCAACTTTTCCTATATGAATTATGAATTTCATTTGTGATATTAATTTTTGCTAAACAGATGCCAACAAATTTTAATCTTAGTTTCGAATTACTTGTAATTTCCATTTTCTTTATGTTGAGTTTACTTCTAAATAAAAGTTTTAATAATGGTTCTTGATGCAATTAATTCTCGTATATCTGTGCAGATAATGGAGTTGGATATCGGTGAGGTGGCCGCCAATCGTAGCTTCGTATTTTTATGGTGCGGTAGTAGCGATGGATTAGACATGGGAAGATTTTGTCTGCGTAAGTGGGGTTTCCGTCGTTGCGAGGATATTTGTTGGATCCGCACGAACATCAATAATCCGGGTCACAGCAAAAACCTAGACAGTAAGGCAGTGCTGCAGAGAACGAAGGAGCACTGTCTTATGGGTATTAAAGGAACGGTACGACGCTCCACCGATGGCGACTTTATTCATGCCAATGTCGACATCGATCTCATTATATCTGAAGAACCCGATTACGGATCCATCGAGAAACCCGTAGAGATTTTTCACATCATCGAGCACTTCTGCCTCGGCCGAAGAAGGTACGAAAATATACATATATAAAACTATCCTTCAGCTTTCTTTTGGAATATGCAAATTAAATTGTTATTTTTTTCCTTTTAATTAATAGAATTATACATATAACATTATTAGAATTGTATATATTAATTGAAATATAGATTCTCGAAACGGATTGGTATTCACTTCGTGTTTCCTTACGCTTACGATCTTCAATTTCCAATCTCGTATAAAACTCAAGGCATACATGAGATGAGGATTGTGATTAAATCCACAACAAATTAATGTATAATTTAACATCTAGAAGTAAAACTTTATATGAAGATTAAGTCGTCATTACGCAAATTTTGAAATAATATTAACAAATATAGTTATGCGTATTAAATTTTTTTATTCAAAACAGATATAATGAATAATAATGAATAAACCTTGTGTTATTGGACACTAAAAAGTGATTTGTTATAAGAAAATACATAGAGTAGTTTTCCATAAAGATGTGATACTTAAAGTTATATGCCTTTTTCCAGTATCCGTTATTTTTTTTCCTGGAAAATATCATTCTTAATTATTCTGTTTTCATTCAGGTTGCATCTCTTTGGTCGTGATAGCACCATTAGACCTGGTTGGCTCACCGTCGGTCCGGAACTAACGAACACTAATTTCAATGCGGACCTGTACCAAAGTTACTTCGCCAATGGTCAGATCACTACCGGCTGTACCGAAAGGATAGAAGCGCTCAGACCGAAGTCGCCGCCACCAAAGGGAAAAGTATCCGGCCGAGGAAGAGGAGGCTTTAATCGTGGCAGAGGCAGAGGGAGATAAATAAATCAGATTCCTGCGTTGTATGTCTTTCGAACATTATTACAATAGATGTAAGAAATCTGAAAATATAAATACATAAATAATTACGAAGGCATGCACGAGATGTGTTCTTTCTCTCTTGCTCCGCGGAATATTTCATTCTTTAACAACATTCTTCCACATTCTTCCTACATTCTAGAAATTAATCTATTTACCATATAAACTCGATAGAATAATTATTGAGCTTGCTTATTTTCAACATCAAATATTGATTTTTCGCCTAAAAGATAAGATTTTTATAATCTATTGAAAATCATTCACACACGCAGCTTTCTGTATTTATATTTTAAATATTTCATTCATCATAAAATTTTAAATTTAATTTTAAAAGTCTATCACGTTGAAAAATAGTGTAAAATTGCATAACTGAAATAAAATCAGGATGTTCTATCAGGATTCGTACAGGTTCTTGATGTACGAGGAGTGGGATAAAAAAAAGGATAAAGCATGTTGTTTTAATATCAAACTTATTGTTATTGCAAGGTACATTGTAAAAAACGCAATTTGTCATTTGAACGCATTATTACATGTAACTTAACTATCTGCGGATAGTATATAGTATATTGCCTCTATCTTTAAATCATTAACGATAAATCGGACTGCCAGAGTCGCAACTTAAGGGAGGAGGAAGGGGGCTGTTAAAATAAGACGCTAAAATGATCGTGTAAAATCCAAATTCGACGAATTTTCAACTAGACCACATCTAACTGCGTTATAAATCGCACTAGGAACAAAACGAATATACATATATATTTATATATAAAAATAAAACACATATATTTCGTTGTTGGGTTGCGGAAGCGAAAAATTGTAATCGGGTCTTTCATCTAAGATAAATTAATGAATTAAATAATAGCGAAGAATTCGTTCTCGAGAGAATAAAGAAAGGCGCGCGCTCCTCGTCAGTCGTTCAGAATATCACCGAGTTACGCAAACAGTTACAAAAATAGAAAAGTTCTAAACAAAAAAAAACGAATACTATTATGACGTTCGTAATTACTATGGCATACTTCCGAAGGCTTTCTCCTCTCATGTTTTTTTTTAAATCTGTTTAAAATTCTTCTGTCGTAGTTCGGGTAAAATAAATGTTTTCCCGTTTCCGTATAAGACATATATCATTTAATATTGGATTTATTCCAAAAGTACGAATCATCATGCTACTCACAAATGATGACGGAATTTTTTAGACGTCACTATCGCGTATATTTGACGAGAAAATCAATGCGATTGATAGATAGATCGATGTGCGATAAATTTAGAGGCTTCTAACTTTTTTGTTGTTTTAATGTAAAACCTGTCCTTTGTTAACATGATTCCTTAAACGTATACTCTCAATGATATAGCCGTTCAAAAAAATTATCGCCGCGCTCATTCAGAAAGGCAGAGAAAAGGTAATTAATTTTCTATTTAAATCTGAGATCAAGTCACGTATTTTGTACTCTATAGGCTGAGTCGAGTAATTAATTTATAATATATACCATAAATATATAGAGCTCTTAAAATTAAGATCGCCAGCAAAGAAGAAAGAAATACGCAAACTTACAAGGTAGTTTTATTGGTCCCAGTAAAGCTTCCGGTAAGTGAAATGAAATTCTGTCTGAAAAGGCAAAATTCCGCAAAGTCCGTTCGAATGCCTTTTTTTTTGCGTGGACGCATGTATAGCGATTAGGCTAGCGAATATACATATACTTCGTTTTGTAATTTGTAAAAAAGCGGACTCTATTAATGATGCCACAAAGATCGTATCTGCGTGCCCAGGTCACGATATACTCGTATACGTTAGCGACAAAACTTAAGCTCCTATTGCGGAATACATGCGAGAGATATCGATTTATTCTCTATTACAACAGAAAAGGTATTGGTTTTTTCTTTTTCTTTTCATTTTTTTCTATTTTTTTTTTGTTTGTTTAATTATAATACTAAACGCGCAGAAATAAATCAAACGACGCGTTCACTTGTTTATTGCTATACTTATCGATCTAACGTAAAAATCGTCTAATTGTAATTTCAGCTATGATGGATCTTACGTACCTATTCTCTCGTAACGCCTTCTTAAATGCAACGCTATATCTCTAACTTTCTCGACGTCAATCTTCCTCCTAAACAATGGCATAATAATACAAAAAGATCGGAATAGAGTATTAAAAACCCTGGTACAACATGATCATAAATAAAATACATAAACGATCCAATTAATAATAATAATAATAATAATAATAATAATAATAATAATAGATAACAAAGTCTATTTTTCCACAGAAACAATTGTATTTCGATACTGAACACCAATTGCATATACGTCAACAATCAGTCATCATGTTTTCTTCTCTCACTTTCTCATCATTTTAACGCGATTAAATTAATAATAGATGACCACTATACACAATTATTATACGAATTAATTGTAGCGTGCATTTTTAACGAACAATTGTTGATATTTCATATTAATAATAGATATCCTGCTTTATAAAAAAAAAAAAAAGAACGGAAGTAATCGTATAAATTAAACCGACGAATTTCGTTTCGAGAAAACGAAAAAAACAAAATATAGGCGAACTTAAAGTAATAATAATATCAGCGCGCGAATACACAATGTTGCAACAAATCGGATATCTACGTCGTCGAAATGAATCGTCCATCACGTCGAAGAGACACCAGAAAAGAAAAGAAACGCTTGCGTACGTATATTATATAACGAATAAAACACGTCGGGGAAAGATAATAAATAAGTTATTCGCGCAAGACACGAATATCGTTACTGCTCTCCTCGGAGAATGAATAAATAAATTAAAAAAAAAAAAGGATAAACTCGATTTTACACTTCATTTATGCGCGTTACGCGCGACAGCGCGTATTTTAGGGATTCTTCGTACTCGAGGAGTACTTCATACCCGGGGACTCACTCGACTTGTATGCGAAATCGATCCATTTCCGACAGCGAAACGCGTTTCTGACACGCGAGACTGAAACGAAAACGTTTGCCGAATATTCGTTTTTTGTTTTAAATATATATAAGAAGATCCTCTAGAGCCAGCACTAATGCAAACAGCTTTTACACAGAAGAAACCAAGCGCCTCTCCGTGCAGCAAATTCAAAACGCGGTCCTAAAAGCTCCTTTAAAAAATTTTTCCGCAATATTTGTCTTATTACTTCATCTTAATTTTTTTTCACGACAATAAAAACTTTTCCAGAAGATTTCTCTAATTTTCGTAAAAGCGTCTCTATCCGCTTGGCGCTGCCAAGACAAGGATTAATCTACTTAACGCAACAACCACTGGGTGACAATCCGAGGTTCGACTTCGATTCGAATAATACCCCGTCGCGACTCGGATGATACATTAATTCATAAATACATTTGCGTTTATACAAAATCAATTGTTTCGCTATCTAACAGATCGTCGCGATTGATACAAATATTGGGGATTAAAAGTAAACTGGCGCTTTATTTCTTTCATATAAAAGCCGCGTACTGATCACGATGCGGCACACGGCAATACGTTAAATTAATTAACTCTAAATGATAACGTAAACCTCTTTTCTTTCGTGAAGCATCAGCGTGTGTGTACCAAGAAGAGTTTATTTTTTTTTGCGGGGCGGGGGATGGCGGGCAGGGTGTGTATGCATGCGTGGTGTGGCAGACACGGGGATGGCGATGGTGGTCGTTTTCATCTATTCGCACACACAATTCGATTTCGGTAATCAAGCGGTGCGGAGGTTTTCAGCGGTCAGAAGGTTGATCGTCACACAGGGTTTAGCCCCGATCGGCCCCGCCATCATCATCATCAGTCAAGTCTCAACAGTCACAAATATGTCGATTCCCCTGCAAGCAGACCTATCGTCAGTCGTGGAGAAAGGCGCGATGTCGAGGCGAGATATCGCAAATTTCTGGGTCAACCAACAGCTATACGGGCGGGACATTTGGGCGGGGAGGTGGGACTGTGCGAAAAAAAATGCCGTTTATATGAAGAAGCGAGGATAAGCGAAAAAAAGAGAGAGAGAGAGAGAGAGAAAAGACAAACGGACCTCTTTACACGCACGTTTACGTTCGGAGATGTAAAAAGATATGAAGCTCACATTATTCTTTCCGTTCTCCTCAGATCTCGACGCATTTTTCCAAATTTCCCTCACGCTTTTTCTCGCTTAAAGGATATTTAAAATGCAATAATGCCCTGTTAGATGAGAATACTTGTTTCGATAATTTTTATGTAAAAATAGGCGAGAATCAGAATTATTCTGTGAATAAGAAAAAGAGTAAAATGCGCCGAGTTCGGGGAAAATGACGCAAAAGAAAATAAATTTCATTACGCTGCATTTTATTTGCATAAAATATGAACTTTTCGACAAGATTTCTTTATTGCTCTTGAACTTACCCTGACGAACGCAACGGACCTGATTGCGAAAAGAAAACGTATAAGATCAATACATACATTGCTCATACATTACTTTTAGATTCGTAAGTTCGAGAGACACGCTCCAGAGTGAATTATACATATTGTTTTATTTCGCAATAATGATAAGAGATTTAATCATATGCCTTTATTACATTTATTGCAGAGTTTGATCCGACAACTAATAGATATTAGCGTCAATGCTTGCGGTTCGCAATGGGGTTTGTTAAGGCAGGAATATTAATACAAGTTTATATCGAACATGTTTTTTTTTTTCTCGGACAAAGGACAGGCTTATATAGACGCAGACAGACATATCCGTAAACATGATAAAATATAAAACTCTAAGAGTTTTGTGCGCGCTTTAATATCTTTATAAATTCTGGAAATGATCAACGGTATAAATTTGCAGTTTTTTTTTTTTTTCGTTTACAAGTATTTCTCTCGTCATGTATCATACAATATCTATACTTGTCGGAGAAAATTAAGTCGGAGGAGAGAGAGATGCGGCTCGTTCGAAAGAACACGAACAGGGATATTCTTACACAAACTGCATCGTGTAACTTTTATTTGTCAGTAACTAACGTATGTATATATTCACAATTTTATGACAAAATTTTACTCTCGTCGTCGACACCGATTGGTGCGCGATATAAAAAATCGGCGAAGTAAACGTACTTTATTATCGGATCGCTCCGCGCGCTCTAAATCGATCTCTAATCCATATTATTTTGTTTCGTTCTAAATGATAAGTGACGGGGTAATTCACGCGTATAATCGTTAATTAATATTCGTATATAATATAATATGAGATCCTATATATTTTATACGCATCGAGAGGTACGCGGGCATACATATACCTGCATCCAATTTAACAATAAGGAGAAAGTACAAAAATACGTTTATCGCGTAAGATGTAGAACGACCGAGTGTCGAAGTAGACGCGTTCGTGTAACAAAATGTACGAGAAGGATCTTTCGTCCGTCGTGTTTGTGAATGTTTATACAGAGGCAATCCAGAAAAATTGGAGATTAAGAAAAAGGATGTGTTCTCAGAAAAGAGCGCGACTTTTTTAATTCAAATGTGGATAAACACAATAGATTGTGTCTCATAAAAAATAAATAACAAATAATATCAAAACAATATTCAAAAATTCGTAATATAACGTTAATTCATATCTTTTATATATATATTTTTTTTAAATATGTACCATGGCGCATATATTAGTTTTAATCAAAAATTGAAGTAGGATAGCAAGATCTTTTATCTTATGGAATTCTGTTCATAGAATTGTCATACGGTTATTTGCATCGCAAACAGCAAAAAAAAAATCTTCGGTCGAATTTGCTTTAAGCAAAAATAAGTTCTTGATTTGCTCAAAAATATATTATACACTGCCGTCACCCTTTTTCTGGACCGCCCAAACGCCTTTTAATGTAGATCGTGGATCGACAGTGACAAACTTTATGATAATCACCATAAATTCCACGCGCAACAGTAGAAATAACAGAAATCGATCGTTAACACGCGACCGCGTATAAAATCCATATATATGCTGTTTTAATCATTCGCCTTAAATTGTTCGCCAGTGTTAAAAACAAGGTTCTCGCGTCGCTTTTATCGCGAGCTTTATTCGCAGCTGACACGTGTACACTGATCGTCGATAGGGGGGAAACCCGTTTCGGGATTTTTCTCGCTTTCCACGAGAGTACCGAGTTCGCTCATTAAAGTCACTTAAACGCAACAATCACTGGTACGCAGGCATATAATAGCAAAGTAATCGGAACGCCCATTTCTCATCTTTTTTTCTCACACGCAACTTTTGTACAACGAATTTGTTTGTCGTGTCGAAAGAACGGCTTCGTTGATTCTCTCCTCGTCGGCTTTGCTATATCGACGGCACAAACGGGATGTCCCAATTCTCATTTATACTCCCTCCTCGTGTTTCGCACGAAAGTGAATCCTCTCCAAGTCCAAAATGTGTCTCGTTTTTCGATTAATAAATGATACATCGATCGGCGTGGTGAGTGGTCCCCTAGAAACTACATCTAGGTACTTCCAATACATTCGCGAACATGTCGAGGACAAAAGCGAGCGGTTTCGAGAGGACAAAATTTCTCTCGGAAATCCTTTCGTCTGAATTATACCAATGAATATCAATTTGAAGAAATATAGATATTTCCTTAAATGAGATTGTTTATAAGAGGCGTTTATAAGGCGATAATAAAAGAGAAAAAAAACTCACGACAAAATATACTTTGCCAAACGTTTCAATTAATTTTCACCCCGGAGAGACGGTCAAACAAAGATTCTTTGTCCTGGACATTTCTTCAGATCCGAGGTACGCGTGTATTACGTTTCCGATGGACCACCCTGTTAGAATCGCAACTCGGCTAAATCGCAGCTTTTGATTTACAGTTTTGTTTTACTCTACGTGTAGGAACATTGGCGTCATCGTTTTCGGAAGTGGCCGCTTCAAGGGAGAGCCCTAAAACTTTCTATGTTAATTAGCGAAAGATCCAGGTCAGTGGAAGCTTGCTGATTATTTATCAGACATTTTTATGTGTGATGGTTATTAACACTTTTTAAAAGCTAGTAACTTTTGTACGCAAATATCAATTGATCACGTTGACCAATATATTCATCGCGCAACACTAAAAGCAAAATGAATATCATAGCTCAGACGTAGAAGGACAAATATAGCATGTTTGAAGATACAGAATTTCCAAAAGCTGCACGACAACACTGATTGTCTTAGCTTTTTAAAATATCCGCGATCACCATTCGAAGTAACAAAAATTCTGAAAATACTCGATTAATCGTCATAAATCAAATTATCAAGATTATCAAGAATAAAAAACCTAGTTCCGTTATCTCCGCCACTTCAATATGCATGCATATGTACAAAAGAAGAAGAGTATAAAATGTCCTTTATGTAACACAACTTCCACTGAATTACCGTTTAAACAACATCTTCCCTGACGATGGTCGTAACGAGATTCGTCTGTACATTTTATTAATCGAAAAAGTCAACCATTGCCGAGCGTTTGCCGATTGCGTTCGCCCGCGAACGGTGTGTCTCTCGGAGATTATGCAACAACAACTCGCGGCTTCCAAATGTGTACCACGAAGCTGGACAGATGTGTGTACAATATATACATACGTACATACATACATACATATACATATATATATATATATATATATATATATATATATATATATATATATATATATATATGAGAGGTGCCAGACATACTTCACACACACATACAATTCTCAGAAGAAGTTTATTAAAGTCAGCATTCATAAAGAGGTGCAGTGACACTTTTATTCTGAGACATGGCAGGTGGTTTCGCAGTGTGTGGTTTCATAGTGTTAGAACGTATAGTCCTAACTAACACGCGCGTTACTATACAAGTGCTCTATCGATGCAACGCAAGACAATGCAACGGACCAAGGACGACGCACCGGAAAGAGAAATTCAGTATGTCAAGTCGGCGTAAGCTCTTTGTATAAACTTATTTATACGCCCAAGGACGTCAACGGAGGATCCACGAGGTGAAATCCTTGCACGTATCTACGTATTTATCAAGCACTTCGTATGCTGAAATAGTGCTGAATATTAAGTGGAAATAATATTTGAAGAGTAATGAATATAATTTTCCTTTCCTTTTGCTTCCTCATAGAGGAAGCTTTGTTTTTGTACACTGTTGCGCACGCACGAATCGTGCTGTAAATTTATGTCGAAATGATATCGCACACGAGATGAAGAATTTGAGAATCGAACACTTTTAAAATCTGTATAACAGTCGAAAGGTATCAAGCAAAACAACGTGCCTTTCTATATAATTTCGTAGATACACAGGGTGTCTAAAAAATATCATGATCTCTCCCAGCTACAAATTCCTTGGCAAATTTAGACTGTCTCGTTTAGCATAAATATAAAAAAAATCGTAATTATCAACATCAAAATAAGAAAACAAGAATTGTGACAAATTAATCTACGATAAAATTATTTCCGAGTTGATTTTAAAGGAACATCATTTTACTTTCTCTTAAGAACGGAAAAGTCGCGCGAGAAGATACAAGTATGTGCTGAATAAAGTGATCGAGTTCGCTGGAGCAATTTGAAATGAAGCGACGAATCTGGGCGCATTCTGTGAGTCTGGATGTTAATAAAAAATCAAAAAAAGATTCTCAATCTCTTAAACGCGTTACCAGTCAATATTGAGCTCTATCAGCGCAACAAATCCCCTGCGAATCTTGCCCCGATTGTTGCAAGTATGTACGAACCGCGAGAGACTCGCAAGGATATATATTATATATATGGTGAGAATCGGTTCTTTCAGCGAAGAAATCACGAATGGCGATTGCATTCCATACAATATTCTCTCTAGACGTTATTATTATTGACTTACGATATTTATTC